TGTCCCCTCTCAGGCCAGGCCACCAGCTGATGGCATCCTGTGTGCCAGCTGCCATTACGCAGCAGGGTCAGCACGGGCAGGTCACCCCTTCGGGAGCTGTGACCCTGGGTTCAGCCAGCACCTCGCCCCAAAGCGCTGAGTAAGCATCACAGTGGGCAATGAGGCAAAGCCTGAGCGAAAAGGCTTCTACTGGGCTAAAGAGGCGGTAGGCCTAGCCTAGCGCCCACTGCGCTGGTAAACTTAAGAATGGCCTGGTGCCTTCATCCCCCCCACCCCGCCCAAGCAGGCACCTCTGTGTCAATCTGCTCTTCATGCGCAGCCCCCTGCTGCATTCCCTGCCCTGGCACAACAGCCTCATCCCTGCTAATGCGTCAGGCCTGGTCTCGCAGCCTCCTGAGCGGCTCGCCAACAGGTGTTTCACCTGCCCCCCCCCACGACCTGTGTCCTCCCTACGCGCTGCCCCACAGTGCTGCTGTTAGCACAAAGCCAGACTGGCTCACTGCCCATTCCATAACCCAGCATGGCCATGCAGCCCCGAGTCCACTCACCAGGTCCTAGACGGCCTTCACTGCACAGCCTGCACCCAGCCCTCCAGTAGCCTAGGTGCGGGGGGTGGCGGAGTGCCCAGGATGCCAGCCCAACCACAACTGTCTACTCTTGGGCACAAGCCAAACGTGAGGCAGCTGCACTAGTGCCCCGTGCCAGCCTGGGCCACACTGCATCTGCAGACAAGCCTGCAGCCCCACGCTGCCCTGCATAGAACAGTCCCGGCCCTCCATGTCTCATCAGGCAGGGCTAGGTCACCGTGTGCACAGAGCGCTCCCCGCTTTCACAGCTGGATGGCAGGCTCAGAGATCATTCGCTCAGCTGGTCTGACCTGTTACAGACCCTGTTACTTTTTCACCCTGGCTGGAGCCCGCCCAGGAACTTGCATTTGACTCAAATGCATGATTTAGTTGGGGATTGGTCCTGCTTTGAGCAGGGGGTTGGACTAGATGACCTCCTGAGGTCCCTTCCAACCCTGAGATTCTATGATTCAAGTGTAACTTGTTTGGCTAAAGCAGGGATCGGCAACCTTTCAGAAGTGATGTGCCAAGTCTTCCTTTATTCACTTTAATTTAAAGGTTTCGCGTGCCAGTAATACATGTTAATGTTTTTTAGAAGGTCCCTCTCTATGTCTATATATTATATAACTAAACTATTGTCATATATAAAGTAAACAAGGTTTTCAAAATGTTCAAGAGGCTTCATTTAAAATTAAATTAAAATGTTGATCTTACGCCGCCGGCCTGCTCAGCCTGGGATTCCGTTCACCTAGGCCGGCAGCGGGCTGAGCGGGGCCGGCGGCTGGGATCCCAGACTGGCAGTGGGCTGAGGGCTCAGCCCGCTCTCGGTCTGGGGTTCCAGCCACCGGCTCCTGCCAGCCAGGGTCCTGGCTGCCAGCCCCGCTCAGCCCACTGCTGGTCTGGGATCCCAGCCCTGCCCACACAGAGCGGGTACCTACCTTCTCCCTGCTTCTAGCTCATTCTCTTCCTCTCTCTCTGCACTGAGCTGAGGGTGGGAGTGCACTGAGCACAGGGCTGGGGGTGAAGAAGCAGGCTGGGGGTTGGGGTGTAGGGTCTGGCCAGGAGCTAGAATGAGGGAGGGGGCTCAGGGTTGGGGCAGGAGGTTTGGGTGTGGAGTGCTTACCTGGGCAGCTCCCATTTGGTGCAAGGGGTGCAGGCAGGAATGTGGGGGGGTGTGCAGGAGCTCCCGTTTGGTGCTAAGGGGGTGAGATTGTGGGGGGTGCAAGAGTCAGGGCATGGATATGGGGGGCTGGAGTAAAGGCTGGGGTTGTGGGGGGGTGCAGGGGTCAGGGCAGAGGGCTGGGGGGGACTAGGGTCATGAGGGTGCTCCCAGCCCCCTGCCCAGAGCAGCTCACAGTAGGGGGCTGGAGGGGATATGCCCTGATTTCCCGCCCCCATCCCCACCTCTTCTCCACCTCCTCCCTGGAGCAACACGCTCTAGCTCCGCTTCTCCCCCTCCCTCGCAAGGGCCATCAGCTGATCTTGGCAGCAGGGAGGGAGAGGAGGAGGGGCAGGACCCCAACACCGCGGCGGGAGGGGGAGCTTGCCTGCCCTGCAGCAGCAGCCGGCAGGACCAAGCTTCTTCACCCTGCCCCGGGGGCGGCGAAGAGCGGGGCAGGGCGGGCAGGATTTTTGATGGCTCGCTGCTGCCTGCCGGGGTCCCGGCCTGGGTTCGGCAGCGGGCTGAGCGGGGCCAGCGGCTGGGACCCGGCCAGCAGCAGCGTGCCATTTGAAATCGGCTCACGTGCCGTCTTTGGCACGCGTGCTATAGGTGACCAACCCCTGGGCTAAAGCATCTTCCAGAAAGGGGGCCAGCTGTGATATGAAGCCTTCAGGAACTGGCCGATCCACCCAATCCAGCAGCTGAACCGCACTTCAACATTTGGGCCATTTCCCATTTCAGCTTCCAGCCACTGGTTCTTCATCTGCCGTTCTCCACTCGCATGAAAGCGCCCGCTTGGCCCCTTGGGCACTGTACGCCCATCCATCTTCCTTCTGCAGAACTGCACCTGCTGGGGGCCTCAAGGCTCTACCTTTGAGGCATTTCATTCCACCCACAACTCATTTGCATGGCTCTTTTTTTTTTTGCACCCTCTCCAATTTTTCCACACCTTTCTTAAAACATAGCCCAGGCCTGGTGGCGGTATCCCACTCTGTCTCACCAGTCCCGCCCGCGGAGGTAAAATCCTCCCCCGGCAGAGAGAAAACACAGTGACACAGCCTGAGGGCTGAGGCATGAGGAGGACACCGTGGGCCCCGGACTGATGTGGGTCTGCAGGCAGAGATGACCACGGGAGAGGCACCACCAGGAGAGGGCATGCCCCTAAGAGAGCTCATCCCAGAGATTGCTGGCAGGAGGCACTGGTGAGCGAACCATGTCACAGTCTTACAAAGTAAAGAATAAGGATTACCACACCGTTCTTCCAATGCCCATGATACAAGACCACACTGCTGGCACCCCAGCCCACACACCCCCTCCAAAGGGGAACAGCGGAAGTAAAGCTGAGACTCAAAATAAGACAGTCCCGCTTACTTCAGTGGTCAGGCCAGCGCCAGCTGGGTTGTAGAGGACACCAGAACCCAGCCAGAGCAGCAGTGTGCAGCCGGACCTAGGCCTGGCCTGCTCGGATCTAGTTCCGTGTGGTTCCTTCATAGCGTTCATGTCCTATAAGGAGCAGGAGCCCCGGTGAGGCCAGGAGCCCAGCTGGGAGTCACTGGCTACACTCAACCCTTTGAGGATCCACAGAGAAACGTTCCACTGAGTGCCGGGCTGGGGCACCAGCTGAGGCCTGGGAAGGGCAGTGGGCAGAGGAAGGCTGGGGGCCCACTTGGCTCCAGTCTCCCCAGGAGGGGGGAGGGCACAATCCCTCAGGATCAGCTCCTTGACTCTCCTGGAGTGATGTGAATGCTCCTCGCCAGGTGACAGCAGTAGCAGCAGCCAGCACATGCAGTGTGGCGGAAGGAGCAGCGAGGGCAGCCCTAGCCCAGAGGACCCCACAGAATCAGCAGGACATGGTGCTACACCATAGAGTGAGGGAGGGAGTGATGGGCTTGTGGCTGATGTGCTGGCCCAGGCCGCAGGAGCTCCACCCCCAAGTGCCAGTCTCTCTGCGTGGCCACAGCCCGTGACAAGGGACTAGGCCATTACCGACATAGGAAACATCATGGGCATTGCTGATTGACCAACAGCTGCTGCAGGATTCCTGCAGTGGGACAGGTTGGTGACAGGGGATAAGCAGGCTGGTGGGAACGGCTAGGGCCTAGGAGGAACATGTTTGAGAGTTAGACCATCAGAGGAGTGAAGTTCTGGAATAGCCTTCTAAGGGAAGCAGTGGGAGCAAAAGACCTATCTGGCTTCAAGATTAAACTCAATACGTTTATGGAGGAGATGGTACGATGGGATAACATGGTATTGGCAATTAACTCATCTTTAAATATACATGGTCAATAGGCCCAATGGCCTGTTAGATGGGGTGGGATCTGAGTCACTACAGAGAATTCTTTCCTGGATATCTGACTGGTGAACCTTGCCCACATGCTCAGGGTTCAGCTGATCACCATATTTGGGGTCGGGAAGGAATTTTCCTCCAGGGCAGATTGCAAGAGGCCCTGGGGGTTTTTCGCCTTCCTCTGCAGCATGGGGCACGGGTCACTTGCTGGAGGATTCTCTGCTCCTTGAAGTCTTTAAACCACGATTTGAGGACTTCAATAGCTCAGACATAGGTGAGAGGTTTATCGCAAAAGTGGGTGGGTGAGATTCCGTGGCCTGCGTTGCGCAGGAGGTCAGACTAGATGATCATAATGGTCCCTTCTGACCTTAATATCTTTAGTCTAAGTCACTCACCTGTGACATGGGGATAATCCTGCCTGCGGCCCCAGGCGTCAGATCTGTGCAGGCAGCACCGACCCTGCAGGTGCCATGGGGTAACAGCAGCAGCTGCACCATGCTTACCTACCCTCAGATGGCTCCAAACACAAATTCAGACCCTGGTGAAGCTGAAGGCTTCAACCAAGCTCCCCCCAGCCTGGGCCCATCCCCCAGGATCCCTGGGCCCACAGGACGGTTTGGCCTACCCCCCACCTACAGCCACAGCCCATGCATCAGTGAAAGCAGCTGCCTGGCCTGGGGAGACGCTCGCCCAGCCAGCACGAGCACGGGAGGAGGCTGCGGCCCCATACACGCAGGCCTGCACCACCCTAGCAGCACTGACCATGCCCAAGGATTGCCGGGGCTGTGATAGCCCCACAGTGAGCTGACACGTGGCTCAAAGCCCAGTTCAAGCCCCCAGGGGGAAAGCAGGGGCTCAGTGACATGCTGCAGGCCCTGAGTGCTGGCCTTGCCCCGGCCATCCCAGCACAGGGCCGCCCGTCTCACCGCTGCAGACGGGCAGGGCTCCTGGAGCTGCAGGCGAGAAACCAGTCAAGGCAGTGGGGTGCTTTAGGCAGATATTTATTGTCACAGAGGGAGGGGAGCCAGGACAGCAAACCACTCTGCAGAGAGTGACGGAGCAGGGCGGCCAGGCTGTTCTTACCAGTCTCCTACACATGCTTGTAGGAGCAGCACAAAGCTTGCTTCACGGCAGCAGAGAACAGACAGCCTTCTAATGCCAGCTTGGAGCTCGACAGCTAAGCAGCTGGGCCAGGCCCTGGACAGGAACCACGACCGCCCCCCGCCTGCTGAGCGCCCTGCTTTGGGGACAGTGCAATTCCAGCAACCTTCATCTGCGAGGGGCTGTAAGCCAAGGAAAGAGACGCAGTGGAACCTGACTCCAGGTCCCAGCAGAGCAGGGCCTGGGCTGCAGAGACTGAAAAGAAGGGTGCTCTGGGGGCCAGGAAGGTGGAGTTCAGCACAGGCCAAGGGAGCTCTGAGCAGAGAGCAAGGGGGTGGGTGGGTGGGAGGCAGCTAAGGGCACCAGAAGTCACCCTCTCTCCCTCCATGTGCAGAGCAGCAGCGACCCCAAGCCAGCAGCAGGGAAGGTAGGAGAAGCTCAAAGTCCATGCTCCTCAGGTCTCCCATGCCCCGTCTCAATTTCCATTAACGGGCTGCAAAGACCATGTCGCTGAAGGCAAGTGTGCTCTTCAAGCCAGCCTGCCTGCGCAGGGCGATTACAGGCCGAGGCAGTTACCCAGTGTTCGTGCCAGACACCCAGCAGGGGTAGGATGGGGCTTGGCAGCTTCCCATAAACCCCTGGCCCAGAAAGAGCAACAGGTCACTTCAGTGGCCTTCTGGATCCCTTTGAATGACCATCTTACCGCCTGGGGAAACCGAGCCAGCAGCCACTCACCTGCCCCCAGAATCTGGGAATGAGCTTGCAGTTATGGGAACACGTGCTCCTACCCATGGAGCAGAAGGGTGTGGGGCCTGCTCACTGCACACCTGGACATGCTCGCAGATGGCCTGTCACTGCAGTTTGTAAAGGAAGCAGTGGGCTGCTCCTGGGATACAGGCAGCCAGCCTGGCAGGACAGCCAGCTCAGAGCCCACAGGAATGGGCAGAGGCCAGGGGCTCCCAGAAGGAGAGTAGCAGCTAGTGGGGCCAGGTGAGCAATGCAGAGGGGACCCTGAGGTAGCCATGGGGGTTGGACAGGCTGGCTAGCACCTGCACTCAGCAGTAGGCACGTACTGTCCCCACAGCCACTGCAGGGCCAGCCTCGCTCGAGACCTGTTCCCAGGTTGAGGGCAGGTTAGCAAGAATCTTTCAGGGGCAAAGGCATTTGCTCGCTGGGTCCCCCCTTCAGTGACTGGCCTGCCTCAGCACCAGCAGGTCCACAGGAAGAAAGTGCAGCCTGGCGACGGGGGGGAAGGACGGGGTCACTGCGTGCTGCTCAGAGCCCTGCAATAGCCAGCAGGAACCTCTGCCTCTGCTCTCCGGACAAGGGCTGCTCGGTTTTCTGCCCTCGGAGGATTCAGACACAAGATGATGCAGGAATTACACAGCAGCATCTGCCGCACGAAGGGAGGCAAGAGAAACACGCTCACAAGAAGCCTCTGGGGACAATACTTTACCGGAGCTAGACTGCTCGAGTCTTAGCCTTGGTAAAGGGGACATTTAAACTCCGGCAACACATCTAATGAGTCACTCTAGAGCAAGGAGTTAATTGCTGAGAGATGCCAGTTCCCTCAGAGATCAGCACTGGCTCGCTCAGCGTACGCACACACAGCGGATCAGTACAGTGACACAGGTACAATGATAATACAGGGACTGGAGCCCTCCTGCTACATCGCCTCCCAGGGCCCACTGGACCCGCACAGCACACACAACTCACGCAAACAATGGCCGCTCCGGAACAACAGACTGTCCCGTTTCCATCAGTGCCAGAGAGGAGCCATCCCCGGAGCTAGGACAGAGCCCATTCAGAATGTACTGGGAGGGGCGGGGGGGATGGGCAGTTCCACTGGGTGCCACCCGGCAGCAGGAGGGCCGAGGGCGGTTAGAAGATGGGGATGTAGTTGTCAATCTTGGTGCGGTGCCGCTGCGCAATGCACTCGGCAATCCACACGATGTTGCGACACTCCTGCTCCTTTAGCTTGACAAAGGCGTAGAAAACCCCGAAGTGGAACTGGTTGAGGAAAGCCAGCTTGTTCAGCTTCACCTTCGAAAGCAAAGGGCATGGGTCAGTGCCCTGCAGCACTGCCTCCCCCCTCAGAAACCTCCATTCCCAGCCCCCCAGCAAAGCCGCCCAGAGCTCTGGAGAATGGGGCTCCTGGGTATTTGCTGGGAGGGTGAATGGCCCCAGCCAGAGTGGAGCTCCTGTTGCAACCAGCAGTGCAGGCTCAGTGGCTACGCAGAGTCCGTAGGAGAAGCCTATCCTTGGGCACCAGGAGCCATTGCTGCCAGGGCAGGGGGTGGTGTGTGGGGAGGAGAACAGGGACATACCCACCAGGTTTGGGTTGCCACTGTCTTTCCAGGAAAGCCCCAAGAGCCCTTTGCAAGCTTCATTGGTGATCCCTAGATTCTACAGTGAATCATCTGGCAGGGAGTAAGGGAGTGGGAAGAAAAGCAGGGCTCCCCACAGCTGCCAAGCCAGGCCTGGAAAGCTGGGGCAGGTGGCATGACACAGAACATCTGAGCCAGTCCCCCCGCCCACCCATGTGACTAACTCTGCTGCTGGACATCCCTTTGCAGACGCACTGGAGGCTTCCACTGAGCAGCAGCTCCTCAGGCTCACCACAGAGGGTCCTTCCCTCACCTCATGCTCGAAGAAACGGTCCTCCAGGGTTTTGTCTCCAGGGTTGCTGCCGGCTCCTTCAAACAGCAGTTTGTATTCCTATGGCAAGAGGAAGGGGCCAAGGAATGCATCAAAGCAAGAACCCAGCACAGCATCAGCATCATCCCTCCCGGTCCTGCTGGAGCAGCAGGCTCCCTGCAGAGTGCTTATCCATCAGCCAGCCCTCCTGGCCGGTGGGGGGTTGTCAGCCTCTTTCCCACCCTGCAGAAAGGAGCGAAGTGCCAGCTCCAGACAGAAACCCTTTCATCCCGGGCAATTTCTCACAGCAGCCTTCACCACAGACGGCAAGAAACCACGATCAGAAGTGAAGCAGACTCTTGTCCCTCTGCCAGGCCGCCAGCAGCAGGGCATTGGGCTGGCTCCTGGAGGAAGGACAGGATTCTCTGCAGCAACCACTGATGATTTACCACCCACTTACATTATTTAGATATAGGGCACTTAATCTGGAGTGAGAGTGTCCACACAGGCTTGTGCTGAAACTACAGGTGTCAATGACAGCAGATTTGGAACCTGGTGTAGACAAGTGTAAATATGAAACTGATTTCATTGCTCTGGTTCCAACAGAAATTAATTCAGGACAGGTCTCTGGCCTGTGTTATGCAGGAGGTCAGATTAGATGAACCCAGTGGTCCCTTCTGGCATTGGAGTCTATGAATAAACCAGGGCTACTCTGTGTGGGCACTCACTGGTTTAAACCCGGCTCCTGGAGAGTTTACAGGTACAAGCTAACCCAGGCAACAGGTAAACCAGGGCAGTGTGTGTTGAGACAAGCCCTGGGCACAGATCCCTGCCACGGTGCATCACTCTAGGGGAGACGGGTCTCTCCATCCCCGGCTCTCAACAAGTTTCATGCCATCTGAGCAGGTCCCTGACAGGTTTCCAGGTCCTCGCCCTACAGCATTCTAACGCTAGGGTCCAATTGTACGGCAGGGGGTCCCTTCAGCCACCACCTCCACTGCTCCGTGACCCCAGCCAGGTCTGGGAGAACAGCCTTGCAGCGCCTCTTGGCACGGATGGAGACATGGGGGCTCAGAACTAGGTCTGAATGCCCCCATGCAGCAGATGACCCAGGCTCTTCAGCAGGGGCAAAAAAATAAACAGCACCTTGTATCCCACCCTGCAACCAGCACGGCACCGAGTGACGCCGGAGGGAGCCCGGTCCAGGCCTCTCTCAGCCAAAGGAAGCGTTGCTGTGACAAGAGCCCCTGCCAGACGAACCCTGAAACGCACCAGGGGTATCCCGCCCCCATCCTCCTCCATGGCTGTTGTGCCACAAACTCGCTGATCAATCCGCGGAGAGCAGTCCAACCTGGTCCACAGTCAGCTCCTGTGACCCCCCGAGGGTACTTACAGGGTAGTAGTCCGCTACTGTTTTGACTTGCTCGTAGTCATCTGCTCTGGCTAGCTGGGCCAGCCCCTCAGGATAGAGCTTTCCGCAGTGAGGGAACAGCTTAGCTCGGTCCTCTTTGGAGAGCTCCGTGCCAAACGAGTTAATGGTGATGATGAAGGCTCTCCTGTCAGCTTCAAACTGAGAGAAAGACAAGTTCGCATTAGGCAGTGCTGTGCCCGTCCCCCTTGGGTAAAGCGCAAACCTTCAGCTGCCAGTTGGCAAATCCAGCGCTCAAGCTGCAGGCTGACGAATGGAGCAAGGCCAGGACAGTGATAAAGAGAAATCCGGCTTCGTTAGGGCACGCGAGAGCACTGGAGAGGGCACAAACCAGCCACACCTCTGCCACCCTCAGCAGGGCCAGGCTACCACAGCCTATGGCACAAGCCTGGCACACGTGGCCAAAGCCCCCATGCAGCTGCCGTTTGTGGGGCAGAATGCCAGGTGCAGAGGAGAGTCACCGTTCCTACTGGGCAACATGGCTTCGAAGCCGGGCTGATGAGCACTCAGTAACTGACGGATGGTCTGAAAACCTGGGGAACACGTCTCGACTAATCGGTTTGGTCTCTGTGCTAGCAAATGAACTGCTTGTCCCACCTACTGCCCTCGGGCGCTCGTGTGCCGCATGCAATCACTGCCCCAGGGTTGATTTTCTAAAGCCAGGCACAGATTTGTGCAGCCTGTCTGCAGAATCACTGGTCAGATTCATGCATCTTCTGGCTCCTCGGCACTAGTGTGCAATAATCATAGGGTACAAGGCTGAACTGGTGGAGACAGCCTTGCAAGATGCCCAGCGTTGCACTCCAGTGCTAGGAGTTCGCAACGGAGACAAGGTGCATGAAAGCTCTGGCCACAGGAGGTGTCCACCAGTCCCTTTGGCTGAGGGGCAGAGTGCACCCAAGGACAGGTATGCGCTGGGCCATTTGAGCAGAGACCCATGGAAGGAATACTCATGGGCTTGGCTGCCAGGAATGGGGAAAGCCACATACCAGCCCTTGCCCTTCCAGCTGCTTCATAACTTACTCTGTCCCCGGCATCATATGTGGGCTCCTCTCCGAGCCAAAACGCGCCATCTCCCAAGTCTTTCACATTTCTGGCTGAGGGCAAAGTGGGAAGGTGTTTGTGGGGCCTGCTGTGATGACATCACCTGCCTCCCAGTGCGGGCAACAGCTTCTCCTGGCTCCCCAACCAAGCAAGCTAGCCACATGCACGGAGGTGCAAAGGAGTTTTAGAAACCAACTTATCTGCAGTCAATGGGCAGCTCTGATCTGCTCTGGCTGAGCAGCGCACAGTGCGATTACGGTTACATTATACTGTGCAGAACGTGCAAGGGTGTCCCGTCTGCAGCCTACCTCCAGGATTGGACACATGGCGTCTGCAGTTGTGCCTCCCAGGATCTTGCAGAACTTGTAGAAGGATTCCAGGTATGCCTGAGCAGAAAGCCAAGCAGACGAGAGGATGAGTGACACTTATCTACAGCCCACGTGATCCCCAAGCACTTCTGAACGTGTCAAATGGCCTCAAGACATGAGCCCAGTAGGACCTCTGCATCCTGGCACACGTCTCACTACTACTCATCTGGTACGTCCCCATTAAGTTCCACCCACTCCAATGACCACGCTTCCATGGACGTGGAGGGAGGCTAAAGAGGAGAAAGGCTGCAGTTTGATTTCAAAAGTGGCTCGGCAGCCTGGCAGCATGGGCCCCACTTGCATTGCCAGAGGTTCTGAGTTCAAATCCAAGGGGAGCCCTGACAGCTGTGAATACATCTATGGCTCCTCTAATTGCTCCCTTCTTGTCTTCCAGTCTATGAACCAAACAAACAGGCAATGACACAGGGTATGTTGGAGTTCCTCGTGTGGGGTGACTCACGCTGGTCTCCCCAGCTAGCCAGTAATAGGCTGCCCGAATTTGTGCTAACACACGTCATAGTTCGTAGCGTAGCACTTCCAGGTCAGAAGGCACTTCCTGCTGAAGGTCCTGTGCCTCCCACGGGCCAGGCTGTCTGATAAGATACAAGAGATGTAAAGCTACACCCACCCTAGGACTGCAACACCAACCACCTGCAGGACCAGTGATGTAAACTCCTGGACTGTCTTATTCAGCTCCGCTGCACTACACAGGGTCACTACTAAGAAGTCCCCACTGAGGGCCTCATGGCCACAGGAAAACCAAAGGAACCGCAACCTCATTGTTGTAGCTGAGAATCACTCTGGCCTGATCTATGCGCAGACTGTAGGCTCATTGGTTCTGTGCAGTGCCATCTATGTTTGGGCTGCTAAGAGAAAATGCAAGACACCCTCACCCCACCCTTTGTATCAAAAACAAGCTCCCCGCACCCCTCTCCCCAAGGGAGCCGTGGAGGGGGGTGGGGGGAAGATGGTGTGTCCTTGTGGAATGCCAGCTGGAGAGATTAACGTGCCTCTGGGGTTAGACACATGTTGGGATACCAGGCTGTCGCTTCAGACTCCAGTGAGAGACCACAGAAGTGCTCTTAAAGTAAAACTTTTCCTAGGAACATGCTGTCTCACAGGGAGTCACCTCGCTGCACATTCACAACTGGAACATGCCAGGAAACCTCAGCAGGGAGGGCGCGAGAAAGGTACACCAGTGGGAGGCCATGGGGAGTGCTGCCCTGCGCAGCTGCTGCTCTGGGCAAATGTGTCCCTCATTTCCACAAGGGCTTTCAACCGAGAAGTCAAGAATGCGACATGCCCCAGAATGGGGTGCTCTCGCTTGGGCCCCAGGGTGACGGCATCTGCCCAACACTCATTGCCTTCAGCTCTGCCTTTCACCACACTCGGGCCAGGACTCCCATGGCAGCCCCAGATCTCACGCAGAGCTCTCTGACCAGCTCCCTGAGCGCGCTCGCTCCCTGCTCCATGTTTGGCCTCAGTCTGGAAGCACACCTGGGGAGAAAAGTTGAGGAAAATCCTTCCTGCTACTGAGTTACACGAGCCGGACAAACTTGCGGCATTTTAGAGCTTTCTGCTAGCCAGTGCGGTAGAGCTACTGGGCAACCCCCAGCCCTTGCCCGCTCAGGGGCCCAGAGCAAGCAGCCAGCCCCCTCCCAAGGGTTTCAAGGGGCTCCATCCTGCGTGCACATACAGCAAGAGACGGTCCCCGTGCTGAGGAGTGTTCCCTCCAATATTAGGGCAGCCACAAGAGGGAAGAACACGGGCAATGTCTGTAAAATCCTCAGAGTGTCCTATAAAGGAATTAAATACAAATCAAACGCCTCATCTTAAAATAAAATAAAATACAAAAAAAATCACCCTACAAGAGCTGGGTACGATTAGTCAAAAACAAAAGCTAGAAAAATTTCTATACAAATGCAAGGAGTTTAAAAGCAAAATAAGGAGACGTAGAACGTTTGACAGTTGACTGAGGTCCCTGACATCCCTGGCATTAGGGAAACCTGGTGGCACGATAAACATCTATTAAAACAGCCACTGTTTCAGAGAACCGAAGGGTGGCAAGGGTGCCCATGTTTAAGCAGTTCATGGGCTGAGGGAACTAGGTGGATTCCAAAAAGGATGGAGCTCGGCTGTTCTCAGTGGAAGCAGACGACAGAACAAGGAGTCATGGTCTCAAGTTGCAGTGGGGGAGGTCTAGGTTGGATATTAGGAAACACTATTTCACTAGGAGGGTGGTGAAGCCATTCAGTTTTACTCATTGCTTTCTGTCTCCTCGGCAGTTTTTGATCCGTGACCATACTTTGCCTCTCGCCCCGTGATAGAACAGAATAGAATTAACAGGAGGGTAAAATTTTCAAAAGCATCTTAGAATAGACTATCAGGGTTGGAAGGGACCTCAGGAGGTCATCTAGTCCAACCCCCTGCTCAAAGCAGGACCAATCCCAACTAAACCATCCCAAGCAGGGCTTTGTCAAGCCGGGCCTTAAAAACCTCTAAGGATAGAGGTTTCATCACCACCCTAGGTAACCCATTCCAGGGCTTTACCACCCTCCTAGTGAAAACGTTTTTCCTAATATCCAACCTAAACCTCCCCCACTGCAACTTGAGACCATTACTCCTCGTTCTGTCATCTGCCACCCCTGAGAACAGCTGAGCTCCCTCCTCTTTGGAAAACCCCTTCGGGTAGTTGAAGGCTGCTATCAGATCCCCCCTCACTCTTCTCTTCTGCAGACTAAATAACTCCAGTTCCCTCAGCCTCTCCTCGTCAGTCATGTGCCCCAGCCCCCTAATCATTTTCGTTGCCCTCTGCTGGACTCTTCCAATTTGTCCACATCCCTTCTGTAGTGGGAGGCCCAAAACTGGACGCAATACTCCAGAGGTGGCCTCACCAGCGCCGAATAGAGGGGAATAATCACCTCCCTCGATCTGCTGGCAACGCTCCTACTAATGCAGCCCAATATGCCATTAGCCTTCTTGGCAACAAGGGCACACTGCTGACTCATATCCAGCTTCTCGTCCACTGTAACCTCTAGGTCCTTTTCTCCAGAATCAGAGGGGTTCAGAAAAGAGCACGGAGAAGGACCAGGGTACATGCAGAGATGTGTGTGTTTTTACACAAATACACTGCCCTAAGCTGTTTGCTCACATCAGGCATATACACACGTGTCCACATTTGCTCAGTTTAGCAGGTTTTCCCCTAACTAGCCTCCATGCTGAAACTGGCCTTCACTACCATCCATCAGAAGCAAAGGTCACACCCCAGCTGTAGTGAAAACAAGGAAGACAGATATAATCTGTATCCTGCCCTTTATCCAGACACTCAAGATGGAGTGACAGCCTCATGGCAGCAATCACTGTTACAAACACAGGACTTGGTTTTCATATTAATGAGACGTTCCTGATAGTGCTGGCTAGAACCAGACCATACTAGTAGGAGCTGCAGTTAGCTCCCCACACACAGCTCTGCTGGTGCCCCTCAATCCTGATCCACCACACACACAGCCATTCCCTCTCTGGGCTCCCCTACACAGCTCTGCCGGTGCCCCTCAATGCAGACCCACAGCCCCCACAGCCATTCCCTTTGGGCTCCCCACACACAGCTCTGCTGGTGCCCCTCAATGCGGACCCACAGCCATTCCCTCTCTGGGCTCCCCACACACAGCTCTGCCGGTGCCCCTCAATGCGGACCCACAGCCATTCCCTCTCTGAGCTCCCCACACACAGCTCTGCCGGTGCCCCTCAATGCAGACCCACAGCCCCCACAGCTTTCCCTCTCTGGGCTCCCCCCACACAGCTCTGCCGGTGCCCCTCAATGCAGACCCACAGCCCCACAGCTTTCCCTCTCTGGGCTCCCCCCCACAGCTTTGCCGGTGCCCCTCAATGCGGACCCACAGCCCCCACAGCCATTTCCTCTCTGAGCTCCCCACACACAGCTCTGCCGGTGCCCCTCAATGCAGACCCACAGCCCCCACAGCTTTCCCTCTCTGGGCTCCCCCCACACAGCTCTGCCGGTGCCCCTCAATGCAGACCCACAGCCCCCACAGCTTTCCCTCTCTGGGCTCCCCCCCACAGCTTTGCCGGTGCCCCTCAATGCGGACCCACAGCCCCCACAGCCATTCCCTCTCTGGGCTCCCCCACACACAGCTCTGCCGGTGCCCCTCAATGCAGACCCACAGCCCCCACAGCTTTCCCTCTCTGGGCTCCCCCACACAGCTCTGCCGGTGCCCCTCAATGCAGACCCACAGCCCCCACAGCTTTCCCTCTCTGGGCTCCCCCACACAGCTCTGCCGGTGCCCCTCAATGCGGACCCACAGCCCCCACAGCCATTCCCTCTCTGGGCTCCCCCACACACAGCTCTGCCAGTGCCCCTCAATGCGGACCCACAGCCATTCCCTCTCTGGGCTCCCCCACACAGCTCTGCCGGTGCCCCTCAATGCAGACCCACAGCCATTCCCTTTCTGGGCTCCCCTACACACAGCTCTGCCGGTGCCCTTCAATCCACACCTGCAGCCCCCATGCCTATTCCAGCCCTCCACGAGGGAAGCTTATTCAGAGTAAAGACCTCTTTGCCCTCCAAGGAGGAGGATTCTGGGTTCAAAGTCACATGCCATCTCCTCATTCCTCTAAGCTGCTGCGTTGCTGGGGTATCCATTGTTCCAACAGCTTGGCTGGGGCTCTGAAGCCTTTCCCAAGTAAACCTTCACTTTTTAAGAAAGCACGTTACTGGTCCATGATCTCGGAACCAGGCCCGAGGGAGCAGTCTCTCCACGTTGGCAAGGTCAAGCCTCCACTTCACATGGATTCTGTGGCCACCTCTGTCAGCCAAGGAGCAGCCCTCTGCCAGAGCCTGCACAACTCATGCAAGGTTATTCAGAGAGGGGCAAGGTCAAAGGATACTTTAAAGGACACCCTCGCTGCCAGCCGGCTGACACGGCAGCAGAGATTGGAACTAGCAAGCTGGATATAATAGCATTGTGTGAACCAGCCTCCAGACCCCCCAGCCCGGAACACTGCTTCATTCCACCCTGGACACAGACCCTGTTCTCGGTCACTTTTTAACTGCATTATTGCTCCCTGGGGGTGATTCTTCTAGCCGGCTTTACAATATACAGTGAACACACTAACAACTGCCTCCTTACCCAGCCTGGAAAAGCTGTCTTTGGAAATAGCCAGCCAGGACAGTGCTCCATGAGCGCTCCCCCTGTGTGGTGGGAAACCACCAGGCAGACAGCAATGCCCCACCCCCTCACAGCACGAGTTACTGATGTGTGTTACTCCAGGAACCTGTTTCATTAGCTCCTTCCCTCCCCGAGAGGGCCACATTTACCTTATACAGCGTGTTTCGGATGATTTCGATGTTCATTTCATCAAGGTCCTGCTCGGATATGCAATCCTGGAAGAAGGCAGCTGAAACAGACACAGAAAGCCATGAGCAACGTTGCAGGGTGCTCCTGCTGCTTGAGTTGTACACTGTGTTCCTCAGAGAGGGAGTGGAGTGTAAGACCTTGGCATGTAGGAGACCAGGTTTCCAAAGGCACAGCACCCAGCATGACCCTTACGGCTGGATGTTCAGAAGCGCTCGTATTGGGGGCTGAGCTGGGAGTAATCAGGCCTGTATTCTAGTGCCTAGATGGGAGCCAAACTCTCCTGAAAAAGACTGGCCGTGACTTTTCTAGTCCCCGGGAGTTCTGGTACCGCATAGCCAGTGAACCACCAGGCGTCCCACAGAGCTCTGCAGGACGGGGCAGGGTCTTAACCAGCAGTTTTATGGTGGTGACAATAGTGCCATTTAGAAATCTAATTTCCTAGGGTGCCTTGAGCTGCAAGGCTATTAGGTCCCAGACTCGGGTGCAAGTCAGACTGCAGTACCAGTTAGCGGCTTGTTTGTTAGGCAGCACTACAGTATTCCCCTGGACTGGGCCAGCATCAGACATGGTGGTGAACAAATGCTGAAGTAGACAAAAAGAAGGCATATGCAATCAAGTGGGGCAAGAGGGAAATCCATATGCCTGTAATGGTGATGGGACATTCATGGGGGCAATGGATGTTAAGTTTTTAGGAAGGTAAAGAGTTGGATTAAAGACTCTGGCCTACAAGAATGTTCTACACCGCCTTATTTCTCAGCAAGAGATGGTCATTTTCATTCAGTATAAACCCTGGACACAGAGCCGAGAGATGGACACACTGCACAGCTGGTCAGACTTTTTTAAACAATGCATTTCAGCCTTGGGAATTGGACATCCCACATACGACGCTTTGCAGTACCTTCCGTTACACTTGAGGTCGCTATTTGCGTTAAGGGTCCTGGTTTTCATTCTGCTTCCATCTTGCTGCCCCTTTTATGCTAGGGCTCCCTGTCTGGTTTCCCATGCTGTGTTCCATGCTCAGGGAATGCATGTAAATGCTTTGGCTTTGCTGCAGGTGACCCTTCCCTATCTGAACACTCAATACATGGGAGCAAGAGCTGTCGCTATTGGTTCAGTTTTTGTTCAATTTCTTGGCTCCTTGTCTAATGAGTCGTTTTCCCATCGACTATTTCTCTGCCTCATTGTCCCAGGCCGTGTTTGTGGGAAGCACTTTCTTTCCCAGCTAAGAAAATCTAGGCGGCTACCAACTGTACCATCAGGACTCAGTCTGTTGGGGAACTGGATCCTTTCTGGAGCAGCTAGAAGAACTGCTCATGGATCACCCCGTCGATTATGTTCCATTAACTCTGTTTGCCAACACTAGCCCAGGAGGCCTGTGTGCCCAGACAGCCACAGTGCACAGTGGAAGCGTTCGCTCATCTCCTCCCAGACTGCTCCACTGCTGGCCTTAGGTCTTGTCTCTCTCTTGCTGGGATAAGGTACCATTGGGACGAGTTTCAAGTACTTGTTTCACAGTGGGACATAGACAAGTCTGGCTCTGCAGACCACAGCAATTACCAACATTTAACAAAGTTAGTGGCATCTCCCACTTGGAGTTACTTTTCCCCTCTACAGTTACGTCTCACTGCTGGCGAGAGAAGGCTCTGCTGACCATTCTTCCAGCCAAGCCGTGATGCATAACAGTAACGCTTCTGCTAGAGTCCACATTCTACAGGTCGTTATAAGGTAAGTCAGTTTGCCAACCTGAACTCCTAGTTTACAGCACTCATGATTTATGGAGCGACTGCTTGTATTTACTGCCTCTGTCGGTACAAGTAAAGGCAGAGAGCAATGGAAGTGATAGCTATCGGGAAAGATGCCCATAGAAAACCGCCCAGCATACCAACCAAACTGCTCAGTGTTCCAGTGGGAATAGTAAATCTATGCTACAAACTTGCTAAATTAAGTAAAATTACCTCACTCCCTCAGAGGGATTTCAGATTATTTACTAAACTGCCCTGCATTACCTGTGTCAGTCAAGACAACTAGTGTTAAAAGAAGGATACATTTCTTAACACGCCTCAACCTTCTACCTTCAGGTTTCTGCATAAGACCGTTTGTACAGCAGCTGATGGGGAACTAAGGAGGTCGCTATATGATCATTGAGTTGTAGCTGCACAAGATAGTTCAAGTAACACATACAAGGCAGAAAAACCCGCCAGGCCTGTCTGGGTGGTTAGAACAGTTTGTAGTCCCAGATTCAGAAACACGGGTTTGTGCCCATCCTCGTGCATGAATGGGCAGACCGGTTCCAAGCCCAGCTGAAAGGCACTTTGAATAAACGCTGCTCACCCAGGGGCGTGTCCACCAAGATTGCGTTGTAGAGCTCCGCAGGGGTCTGAGCAATGTTCACAGCTTCCATTTGCTCAAAGCTTCCTAGAGGATGGCACTTGGGCACCAGCTCCGCGATGGAGCGCTGGTGCAGCGTTCCGGTGATCAGCAGGATGACGTTATCGATCATGTAGCTGTAACTAGGAGGAACAGGAGAGGGGAACGTGTTACTGATACGGACATGAGGGCAGTAGGGTGGGTGCATGTGTTGGCCCACTGAAGATACATCACAGTCACTGCTGGCTCTTCAGTCCACCTGAAGGCTCTCTAGCAAGTTGCCAGGTGCACCCAGCTCCTCCAGGGAGCAGAGGAGCCTCCTTTCCAACACTCACAGGTCTACCAGCCTGGGGGAGAGGAACCAAGCTTACGCCCAACTTTAAACCACTCCAGCTAGACCCCTGCCAACCACACATCTCTTCCTGCCACTCCTCTCCCTCTCCCAAGCCACTGGGACCCCCTCATGTCACATGCCCCAGTGAAGACTCCTCCGTTTGTGGCTGTACAAAGCATTGCCTCAGCAAGGCCAGCAGGAGCCAGGGGAACTGATGGGGATGAGGATGACAGGTCTTCATCCCTCTGGCTGAGCTCAGCTGCTGCATCTGGGAAAGCACTGTACAGGCGCAGTGGGGAGACTGCAGCGTTCCTGCAGCCCTGTGCCAAGTCTGGCCCCTGTACCTTGTGAGCACATACGCTGGGCAGCCTTATTAAAAACCCAGTAAGAGGAAAACTGCAGGTTATTAATCACCATCACCTTGCAGCCTTTAGCTCCAGACTGGAGGTTTCCAGAAGACCTGCTCTAGCGCCACCGGAATTTGTGGGTTTGATGGAGAAATCACTGGGTGCGGGTCTGTGGCTGCATTATTGCAGGAGCTCAGACTGCATGATCCAAAAGGGCTTTTCGGTCCTCAACCCACGAATCATTTACACTGCAGCAGAGGCCAGAGGCCATACCCCAACAGGGGCTGCCTTGCGCTAGGCACTGTACACACAGATTTTAGCTTGAAAGACAAGACAGGCTGGAGGGGCGGAAGCTGCAGCAATCAGGAAGCAAGGTCAGGGCTTCGAGAGATGCTTTGACTGCCTATACAGAAGGAGACGTGAGATTTAGACACTGCTTGGATGCTGGGCTAGAGGGCGGGAAAAGGCCAGAATGTGGCTTGGTGCTGCCCAGCATGACAGAGGCAGGGAGGGGGAAGGGCTTTGGGGAAGAGCTGCAGCTCAGCTGTGGCCATGTTGCATTTCAGCTGAGAGCTGGAAATACACAAGGAGGTCAGGAAGACAGGCTGAAATTTCAGTTTGAGGGAGACATGTGCAAAGTAGAGGCCGATTGAGAGACGGCAGGAGCCTATCAGCAAACCTTGCTCAGAGACACCCAGGGAGAGTAAGGGAGACGAGGAGGGTGCCAAGCATGGTGCCCTGATGGACCTCAGCGAGCACGGAGGATGACGAGGTCCTGAAGGAGCAATCTGTGAGGTCGGAGGAGAACAGGGACAGGATGGAGCCAAAGGCCGAGGGATCACAAGACTGGGATGGGCATGGTGGAGAGTCTCCAAGGAAGCTGGTAGGTCTAGGAGGAGGAGTACAAGTTTTTGACCGGAAAGAGGCCATCAGAGCCCTTGGCGAGAGCTGTTTTGGGGAAGCAGAGAGGGCAAAAGGCGGAGGGGAATGGGGCTGTACTGGACTCCTGAGAGCGGGTGTAGGAGGCACGCTGAGCGCGTCCAGAGGTAAGTGGAGAATGGCAATGGAGGCCCAGCCTGGCAGGGAGCAGGGGTCCAGGGCGTTCTCTGGATGGCCGGAGAGTAAATTATTGAGGGGAAGGGACTTGAGGGGAGGGCAGAGATGGGGTTTGAGGAACCAAGCAGGAAGGACATGGCCTGGCTCTGCTCGAGCACTTAGTTCAGCCTGGCTAGGAGAGGCTGGGTGAGTTTTTCAAGGCCTGCTGAAGCTGGGGGCTGCTGTGTCTCAGGGAATAAGCAGAAAGCAAGATCAAGCACCATACCAGGTGGGGTGGGTAACTACCCCTCCAATTGCCCTCCACTTCCCTGCATGCTTCTGCCTCTGCCTTCCCCTTATGACAAAGGACTTTGACAAAGGACGTTAAGATTTGGTTCACTTTACCAAGACTGCAGGTTGGCACAACTGCATGACTTTATTAACAGTCTCCCAGCTCAAAGGCAACCCCTCCCCTGCCTCCACAGCACCCTAGACCAGAGCCCCCTCCCCACTGTGGAGATTAGAACATGGTCAAGGCCACCTGAAGGGAAGCCCCCTACCCCCAACTTGTTTGTAACAGAAGAGCAGCAGACAGAGCTGTAACCCAGGAGCGTGATTAGCACTGGATGAGAGGCCACAAGCCACATCTCAGTGAAACACACAGACCAAGCCCTGGCTGAAGCATGCACTGCTAGGACCAGCGCCATACAGGGGCTCGACGGCAGCAGTTTCCAGGCTATACTGTCTGTTTACAAACAAATGCAACTTAAGCCAAGATTGCACGCCATGATTTTCAGGAAAAGCCCTGACAGGTCGTCATGTGCCCATCTGTAACGCCCCTACTCTGCAAAGGCTGCATTAGGGCATCACTTACGCACAGCAAGGCAAAGCACGCTGAACCTCGCAAGGCATGAGATCCATTCAGCCAGAAGCCTCCTGAGCTTAACCTGCAACTAGGAACAGGCAGGGGAAAGGAAGATAGAGCGCTCTGATGTTGCCAGCACAAGCACCTACCAATTACGTGCTGAACAGCTCTTGACCTGCCCTAGCTCACCTCAAGTCCTGCTGTCATCATGACAAGGGCAGCCTGCAAGGAGTTAGACCCAAGCCATCCACAGACATGGGAACGGTAAGGTAACACTTCTACAGCTACTTGTGAACACAGAAACGGCTCCAGAACCACGCTCTCTGATCCAGCTTTGCTAGAAACAAACAGGTTGTGTTCGACACCGACAAGCACTGGGCAATGCAGAGCTGGGCTGATGGGCCATCTTTCACACGCACACACATGCTCTGCTGGGGGAGGAGCGTAAGTGTGAAAGCACACACCTACACTACTTCCCACGCTCGATTCTGAGTGTCCTGTCACCTGCTCCAGTTTCCTGCACCACTCTCTGACGACAGAAATTCATCGCACGACGTTGTACACCAAATCGAGCGCCTCAGACTCACAAGTCTGCCTATTACTACTGGTCCCCAGGCTGACTTCACCTGGGACCAGCTTCGTATGTGCACAGAGCCATAGGTGTGCATGACACGTCACCGAGAGAGAGAGGAGAAAGGTTCCAGGCTGAAGTGCCTACGCCCAATACAACAGGACGCAGGGCAAGCCCAGGAGATAAGAAGCCGGCTCACGCAAACAAGACAATGCTCAATATCCGACAGTTCCCATTCATGGCTAGAATACTAGTGCGGATATCAATCCCCTAGGGCGAAACCGGTGCAACAGGAAAAGGAACTGGCCTTTTGTTTGTCTGCAGCTCTCCCGGAGGACCACATAAACCCAGATATGAGAAGACACGTGCTGTAGAGGACCTAACGTAACGGTCCGGAAAAGGCCAACCATCCAGCAGCAGCTCGAATACACACCTTAGCAATAGCGTTGGCTAAATATGAGCTGCAGTTCCACTCTCTAGCAAGCCCAGGCTGTGTTTATGCCAGCTCTCTCTTGCTCGTTCCTGATAAAACAAACTGGAGGCTGAGATCTTCATGTTTCCTGTTCCAGGTGACCATCGAAGTTCTGACTAAACAAGAGAATTAAGCCAGAACACACTGACCGAGTTTGGGATGCAGTCAGAAAAGCCCCCCCCAGCCATGCCTGGATGCACCTGCTTTCCGGTGCAGCGGCCTTCTTGTATGCCAGTTACAGCACGGGCAGCAAACCAGCAGTACCTCCTTCGCCTCTGCTACGGTCTCTTCCACCAGCCCTACGGGGTTTGGTTGGTTTGATTTATTGCAGAGTAGCAGTGATCCCCCAAATGCCCATCGAACATGGTGTGCCTGTTTATGCACCTCACCTTCCGCCCCACAACTTCCTCGGGGCCTTGAGTGCTTCAGCACCTGCATACATGTCATTCTTAGGTCATGCTCAAATCACCTCTTTGGAACGAGAGGCTTTCCAGCAGGCAATGCCACTAGTCTGGTGAGAGCCAGACACAGGTATAACCAGATTGTCCGAGGTTACAGAATTCTGCAGCGGCTTCACAGAGCTAATCAGTGCTCACACCTCCATGCCTAGAAAGGTGCCACCGGAGGATAATCACTTCCCCTGTTTTATTATGTGAAGAACAATGGGAGCAGCATGTTAGTCATATGGGACTGCTCCTTCCAGCACTCCCTTTAACAAGTCAGGTTATGCTGCACCTCTTAAGAGGAAGAACAGTTCAGGAACATCAAGGTTCTCAACCAGCAAGGATAATACAGGGGCTTGGAGGGAAGACACCCAATCTTCCCACTTGTGCTGGGAAGTAGGCCACTGGGTTGAGGGATTCCCCAAGAACTGTGACGTGAACCAGGAAAGCCACCGCAGAAGAGGGGGAGGTGGCGACATCTGTTAAGATAGAAAATCGCCCCCAGAGAAATGGTAACAGGCACCAGGAGTTAATTAGGGAGCGTAAAGACTAGTGTAAACACCAAGGAAGCTGTTTTGAGAGCTAGCAAAAGAGGTTTAGGGAGACCTAAATAAGAACAGGCAAGCAGCAAGAAACGGGAGAGATTACATTAGACAACAGCTAAACTCTGATGTCACCCTGTAGCGTATTTGGCAATGGTAAATCTGTACAGGGGATAAGGTTGTGGGGGGGGGGGGGCTGAAGAACAGGAATCAGGACCTGACAGAAACTCTTCACTTAAATCGCTTCCCTTTCTGAAGTCAGGATCAAACCCTCGCCGAGGGCATAATGAGGTTTCCAGTGGCACAGAACAGGAATCTGCCTGCAGCTGTGAAAGCAGTTGTCAACAGACTAGGAGCTTGGCCAGAGGCACAAAGTTCTGGATATAGAGTCACTGGCACATCCAGAGGAATACACCCCTGTATCTTGCAGCACATAAGATGCCAGCTGTAGATCACCTGCATCCACAGACCTGTAATTAGTCTCTGAACTCAGAAATATTTTCTTGGCGGTCCTTGAGAACAGGTCAGATGTCT